CCCCGTCTGGCCTGTGTCCATTGGTCCCTCATTTCTCCACCCCGAACCCACTTTCTTGCCCCTCCCCTCGGTGCTCCCCTCTCCTCTGCTGGGCTCTGGATCCACCCGTCCCTCTCGGTCCTGCAGCCTCACCTCCTGTGGGGCGGCCTCCCTGCCTCCTCTGTGTGTTATTCATCTACCTTGAGCTGCCCTGTGTGGGTGGCCGGCAGCAAGGTCAAGAGCAGCCCAGTGAGCCAGCGTTGTGAGCCGTGATCCAGAGGAGCTGGGGGGAGCTGGGGAGGGTTTGTTTCCTGTGTGATCTGAGCGTCCCTGGGCTCGACAAGTGGTTTTTAATTTTTAATAGAAAGCGTTCCGTGCAGCGCTGGCAGCAGCAGGGGGTGGGACTCTTTTTTTTTTTTTTTTTTTTTTTACAAATGTTTGAGAAGCTAAATGTGAGCCTGGGGTGTCCCCAGGCCCAGCAGGGTAGCAGAGGAGGTAGGGAAGAAGCAGGGTGGTAATAATCACAAACATCTTCAGGGTAATGACACCGTCATTGAGGACCGGGTTCTTTTCTGGAGTGCTTCCTTTCTGCCTTCCCATCAAGGGGTCCCCCACACTCAGGGATCAGGGGGACAAGGTGTGGTCTCCATTTTGCAGAAGGGGGACCGGGTCCCCGTCAGCCGGCCAGCTCAGTGGTTTTCCTGCAGCCACGCACAGAGCTGGGGACAGGGCTGCAGTGAGAAGCTGTGTGCCGTCCCCGAGCTCCACTCCACGCAGGGCCACCCACTCCTGGAGCCCGCTGGGGCCTAGGTCATACCCCCACCCCCACAGCAAGTGTTAAGGGACAAAGCAGGACACAGGTTCCAGTTCCACCCGGGATGGACCCTGTGAGAGCTACCCGGACACCATGAGAAATCGGCCAGTCCCTGCCTCCGGATGCTGGTGCCCAGGGGAGCCTACACAGGGCCCGGGACCTGGCACCAGCTGCTTCCTGACTACACAGAGGAGGGAAGGATCGAGCTCCCGTGGGCACCCACTGCCCCCCAGCCTTACCAGCCTCTTGGACCCATCATCTCTCACCCTCCGAGCATCTCAGAGATACAGGTGGGACCTTCTAATAGCGCAGGTGAGGAAACAGGCCAGACGGGGAAAGACTTGGCTGAGGGCGGGGCGTGAGGACAGGGTGGGATTTGAACCCAGGACCCTGAGGCCAAAGCTCACCCACTCTCCTTGGGGGTGTGAGGAGCGTCTTCTCTCAGGACTGTGACTTCTCCACGGTTGGTGGGTGTGAGGCACCTGGTGCTTCCTTCTGGTGTCAATCTCAGGACAGGTGCCTGAGCCCAGGAGAGTGACCTGCTGGCTGGGCAGAGCTGGCTTGGAATTTCCCCCTACTCGTTACTAATGATGTGGCCCTGGAAGTCACCAGCCCCTCCGTGACTCTGTTCTCTCATCAGTTCAGTCAGGGCGTGGCTCCAGGAGCTTATAAAAATGCCCTCCGCAGGCTCCACCCCAAGAGCCCTGTTTAGCTGCTCTAGGACGGGGTTCAGCGTCAGTTTTATTTTAAAACTCCCAAGAGCTTTCTCTGATGAGTAGCCAGGGTGAGAGCCATGGGTTCTGTGCCCTCGGGGACCTGTCTGTCCATATTTAACATTCTCATGAACCCCTGAGCCCCGAGATCCTGTTTACCCAAGAATCCCTTGGGCAGCCTTCCTGGCCTCATCCAGCCTGGACTTAGGCTCTCAAGCACCATTTCCTAGGAAGGGCTGGTGGGCAGCACCATGGACAGTGCCCTGCTTGTCCCAGCGACCCCAATCCACTCCTGGAAGCCTGGGCTTGGACCGGCTGCCCAAGACTCCCGCCCTTCCTCTCCTCTCCCCGCCTTCTCCTTCTCTGAGTTTTCCCTCTCTCGTTCGCCATCTACTTGGACTCCAGCTGACCCCCTCTTGCCTTTAAGGCAGGATCCAGGTGAGTCTGGACATCAGATCCACCTGCGCTTGAATCCTGCCTCTGCGACTTCCTTACCTGGAGCACCCAGCCAGGCGCTGTCCTTGGTGCTGAACGTGGGAATCTGTTTGAGATCTCACAAAGGGTTTGGTGGTGCCGTCACTGAGGACGTTGGGCATGAAGAAGTTCCGAGCTCAATTCAGCCTCCACATCCTCATTTGGAAAGTGGAAGTTTCCGCAGGGCTCACGGCAGGGCCTTATTGCATAATTTCCATGAGATAACCCGTACTATGGCTGGCACCAGGGTATCCAGCACAAAGTAGTAATTCAACAAAGGCAATCTGTAGTGATCATTGTTATTGGATAATAATATGTAATCGCGGGTTTCAGCTCATGAAAGGCATATCGATTTTCAGAAGTTTTGTGATATCACACTCGTGACTTGAAATTGGGCCATGGTGGGAGTATTTACACCACAGAAATCAGTGGATGTCAGAAAGGTGGGGTATCCCTTCCCCACTCCACCTATGTCATAGAGGTGTAGTGAGATCTCAGACTGGCCGTGGCAGTGCCTTGTGCTGGGCCTGGGCGGGGGGGGGGTCCACCTAGGAAGGATGACCCTGAGGGGCTCACAGCAGCCATGAGCCTGGGACCCCTTGTCTCCAGTTACAGGGAGCCACTGACTGGGGGAGGTGGGAGGGTGTGTGGCCTGAAGAAGTCGTTCCTGCAGGGCCTGGGAGAGCGGTGGTGAATCACTGGCCCTTCGCCGTCCCCACGTGTCGGCATTAACTGTAATGGCTGCAATAAAGAATCCCAGATTGGGGAAATGATTCCATCATCCCCGCGGGAGTCCCTGGGATGCAGCCAGGGAGAGAGAGAAGGAGAGAGAGTGTGCTCAGCCATGTCCCTGGGGAGTTGCTCAGCCCGACACTGTGCCTTGCCCATGGGGTGGAGGGAACAGGCAGGAGGAGTGAGTGGAGATCCTCCCTCCTAACATCCAACAGCCACCGTCTATGGAGCACCGTCAGGAGCCTGATGCTTTATGTATCTTCTCCCATTTCAATACCTCTGCCAGGGAGGCGTGATGGCACTGTGCGCTGGCCTGCGGGCCCCCAGACAGCAACCACCTTCATGTATCCGGTTCTTAGTGTGGCCCAGTCACTGTCCTTGGTGCTGAACACGAAAATCTATTTGAATTCTCAAACCCATCTCCGGAGTTTGGTGATGCTGTCACTTCATTTCATGAATGAGGGGGTTGAGGCATGAAGGGGTTCATGATATGTCCAGGGTCAGAAGTCTAATAAATGGCAGTGCCACCACTGATTATGATTCCGTACAACGAGCCACTGTCCCCACAGTCCCTGCTTATGCTGTTATTGGTACCCAGGAAGGCTTTGGCCTCACAGTCCTGGTTTGGAATCCCACAGCTACTTCACACTGTGACCTCAGTCAAGTCTTCCACCCTGTCTGGCCTGTGTCCTCCCCTGTGGTATTAGAGGCGCCCACTCTGCATCTCTGAGATGCTCAGAGGGTTAGAGGTAATGGATTTAAGGGGCTGGTAAAGCCAGGTGGAGTGGTACTCCTTCTCTGTGTAGTCAGGAAACACCTGGGGCCGTGTCCTTAGCACTGAGTAGGAGGTCTCAGGCACCAGCAACAGGAGGGAGGGGGCTTGTCCCCAGCTTGTCAGGGCAACTTGGACACGGTTGACATGGAGCTGGAGCTGCCAAAGAGAGGCGCATTGCAGGGCCGGCTTGGGAGGCTCTGGCTGGGAGGGGGACCCAGAGAGGGAAATGAGAAATGCAAAGGAGTGAAAAATAAATACATGTGTCTGTCTGGAATGATCGAGGGCCCCAGGCGGGAGGCGGGAGAGGCGGGCAGCGGGCTGGGCTGAGCAGAACTGCTGCAGTAGCACTTCCAGGCTCACTCATTAGCCAAACAGTGAACTGGCCTCACCTCCCAGAATGCCACTGTGCCAGCCCGAGAGCCCAGCCCCGCTGGTGGTAGCGTCCCAGCCAATCCCCGTGGGAGATGCCCACCCAGCACAGGGCATGTCCCTGAGGTGGGGTCTCAGTCTCCCTCCACTGGGTTACATCTCAAGCCCCCAAGGCTCCCTCTGGGTCTTCCAGCCCATTCCGTCTTTCTGGAAAGGTTCAGATGGACTAGACAGCTTCGCTGGCCCCTCCGATTGACCCCTCCCCCACCCGGTCCAGGCTCACGTCCCAAGCCCTGCTTTCGTCAAATTGAACATGATGTCAAATTAGAGCCATCTCTGGGACAGGCCGAGAGAAGCTCCCAGTTTAATGAGGCAGCGTCGAAAATCAATAACTTAATTGCCGCTGTTTGATGGACTTTTATCCAATTTATACTCTCCCCAGCAGGCTACGTGCAGAGCATGAGGACGAGCGCCCGGGACTGCGGGGGGGGCTGTCTGGGCGCCCGGGGGAGGGGCAGGGAGGGCACCGGCCCAAGCTGCTTTCCAAGGGGAAAGCTGGGCACTGAGTTCTACTGCCCAGGGGCCCCGAGGCACCAACCCCCAGCCCCAGTGAACTCAGCTGTCCCTCTGGGCTGTCTGTCCCCTACTGCCAAGGTGGGGCCAAAGGGGCTGGAGTGGTTTAGACCTCTGGGTCAGGAGGCAGGTGCCTGGTCTCTGGTCCTCGCTCCGACTCTCACTGTGGCCACCTTAACCGGGATAATGATTGCTGCCACCACCTTTGAGAGGCTGCCCCCAGCCACTCTGTGCTGGGAGTTCAGAATCCGTTCCCTCAGCCTGGTGCCGGGAGACCAGGGGCACCCTGTCTTGTTGGGGAGGGAGCACATTCAGAGCCCCACTGCCGGGAACCACCCTGGGGAGGTGACATCCAGACCGGACTCCATGGTAACCCCTGGGCCACTAGGAGGGCCTGGGGGTGGGGGGGTGCAGCCCCTGTGACTTGGTGTGGGAATGGGGTGTGTGAGGGGGCTGGCCTCAGTGACCTCCAGAGGGTCTCCTCTCCCAGCTTCCCGGGGGTGGGCGAGGTGGGAGGGAGGAGTACAACAGCTGCGGTGACCCCCTGTCTTGCTTGGTCCCCGGGACTCAGGCACGTCCGTGATGCAGGTGATGGCCTCGGATGCAGATGACCCCACGTACGGCAGCAGCGCCCGGCTGGTGTACAGCGTGCTGGACGGCGAGCCCCACTTCACCGTGGACCCTAAGACCGGTGAGGGCGGGGCGGGGCCAGAGGGGCGGGGCTGGAGGGTGGATCCGGGGAGGGGCTGTAAGGGGCGGGGCCGGAGGGTGGGTCCTGGGCGGGGCTGTAAGGGCGTGGCCTGAGGCAGAGACTGGTGGCGGGCGGTGCCCAAGGGGCAGTGGAGAACCACGGGACTTGAACTCTAGCCTTCTGACCGAGGCTGACGTGTGCCTCAGAGGACGCTGAGACAGGCACCTTGCGGGGTCCGGAGACTCCGGGCCAGGGGAAAGAGGGGCAGCGGGGCAGGAAGAGGGCGGAATGGGCAACAGAAAAATGGGCTGGGCCCTGCAGGACTAGAGGAAGACAAAAGGCAGGACCTCAGCGTCTGAACTCAGCGGCCTCGGTAGTCCTTGGCTCATCTGAGGCAGGCGCATCCCCAGTCCTTATGGGGTCGCGAGGGTCCCTTTCAGCAGACCTGGGAGGGCTTCTTTCGGGGGTTTGAAAGCTCTGCTTACCGGGCTGCTGTTGAGGATCTGATGGAGAGGCAAACGCTTGGAGGTCGCTTTCCCACAACCCACTCCCCCCACACCCCCTCCAGTCAGGGGTGCAGCACCCACCAACCCCCACTTCCCTTACTCTGGGGTTACGACTTAACTAGTCTCTCAGGGGCCTTGGGAGAGTGCCAGGGAAGACAGTGAGAGGATGGAGGCTCAGAGAGGTGAAGTGACTCACTCGAGGTCACACAGCTGGGAGAGCTGCTGATTCCACTGGGGTGCTGTCCCTGCCCCCGGAGTAGGAGAGAGACGAGACATCAGACACCACAGAACGTTTGTCAAAGGCCATGATGGGGCTCAGAGGACTGTAGGAGGAGGGGCAGGCCTGGGCCCGGGCAATTAGGATGCAAGGTGGCAGCCAGATGGAGACTCCAGAGAAGAGCATTCCAGGCAGAGGCCCCGAGCAGACAAAATAGGGAGGAGAGTGACTGAGGCCCCAGGGGACTGTCAACAGAGCCTGGAGGCCATGTGGAGAGGCGGCAGGAACTGTGATGGCCTAAGCCAAGCTGAGGGCCTTGGATTTTAGTCCAAGGGCAATGACAGGAGGTGGGGGTTGATGAATTGGGTTTGGGGTTCTTGTTTGTGGGTTTGTTTGGTTTGGAGGAAGGAGGATTCCAGTCTAGAAGCGCAGTTAGAATTGCGTTCTCTTCCACATAGTATCTTCATTCCTTTTTTCCCCCTTGCTCAAGTGATGCATTTTAGAAAACATTAAATAAATGTTAAAAAGAAAGTACTTCCCATTCCCTAGTCTGGTAATTGCAACCCCAAAGGTGGCTGCTAGGTGTGTGCATCCTAGGAGATCTTGGATTCATTCACTTGGAAAATATTAAGTCATTTAAAAAAATAGATTAGACATTGCAAGGTTCAAAATTCAAAAAGTTCAAATGAGTATTTAGTGGCAATTCTTCACCCCATCCCGTCCCCAAGCCAACCAGTCTGTGTCCCCAAGGCAACCAATGTAATTTTCCTGTGAATCTTTCCAGAGCTATTCTGTGCATACATAAGAAAATAAGACACATGTATTTGTTTTATTTTCTCCATGAATGGTAGCTATAGGCATACACTGCTTGCTCTTTTGCTTCACAATATGTCTTGAAGATTACTCCATATCAGTCCATAAAGAGCTTCCTCATTCTTCTATTTAATGCCTGTTATGGATACACCAAAATTTATTGCACACTCCCCTATTGATGGACACTTACGCTGTTTCCAATCTTTTGCTACCACGAACACTGCTACAGCGAATAACCTCATACATACATCATTTTGTGCCTGTGTGAGCATATCTGCAGGATAATTTTCAGCAAGTAGAAAAGCTGGGTCAAAGAGCACATGCATTTGGAATCCCAACAGATAATGCCGAACTGTACCAGATTACGCTCCCGTGAGCCACGTGTGAGAGTCACTTCCCCCTCCTCCTCGCCACCACCACCACGGGCTCATGGATGACTTCTGATCAGGGAGTGACATGCTCAGGTTTTTATTTTAACAAGATCCCTCGGGCTGCTGCGGTAGAGCTTGGCTCCAAGGCGGGAAATGGAGTCAGGGAGGCCTCAGAGCTATACTGACTTTAGGATGAGAGAAGATGGGGGAAAGAAACCTCCAGAACTTCCAGGGGCCCACTGAAATATGGGCCCACTCGGAGAATGTTTGGGGCTCTTTAAGTTTTGGCTCCCCGTGTGCACCGGGGGAGGAAGGTGCCTCTTTGTAAGATTGCTGAGAGGGTTCGGGGGGAAGTCTATTCATGCATTCAAGTATTTATTGAGTGCCTCCTATGTGCCTGCTCTAGGCACCAGGAATGCAGCAAAGGGCACATTCAGGACCATCTGGAGATTTTACTGACATATTGCTATATGTTTGGTAGTGATGAATGCAAGGGAGGACCATAAGCCAGGGTGGGGAGTAGACTTGGATGAAGAGATTAGAGCCGCCTTACTCTGGGGAAGTGAGGGTGTGGGCCACAGGGACTGGAGGTAAGAGCACTGCAGGCCCGAGGAGCAGCAAGTGGTCAGGTGTCCTGCCCAGCGCCGGGCACAGGGGATGAGGATGTCAGTGATGGGGACTTCGTCCTTCCAGTAAGGACTTTGGAGAGGATAAGCCTTCAGGAGGAGAGGCAGAGAAAGCCACAGATGGGAGGGAAGGGCAAGGATTGGGTATTGGGACTGAGAGGGGTGGCCAGATGAGAGACTGGGCTCTACAGCCTGAGGCCAGCCACTCTCCGGGGATCATGCCCCACTGCAGAGGGTCGGGAGAGGGTGGCGAGTGTGTGTTCTGGGCCCAGGAGAGCAGAAACAGCTCCCCCGAGCCAGAAGAGGGGCATCGTGCCAGACAGACCAAGGCGATCCAGCGGGGTCCTTCTTCCCGGGTCTCCGGCTGGCGCAGGCTGAGCTTTCTGACACTGCCCAGGAAGACCCAGATTTCTCCTCCAGGTGCCCCCAGCCCCCTGCCAGAGCCGCCCTGCACCCTGCCCAGCTCCGTTTCCCCAGCCAGGAATATTCCGCCGCTGCGGTCTATATTTAGCAGCTGCTGCGAGGTACAGTCTGTCCTCGCTGTGCAGATAGCAGGGAGCAGAGCGGAACGGGCCGAGAGGAAGGTGTGAGGAGGGGGGTGGGGCGCCGCGGCCGAGCCCAGAGGAGGAATTAACTTGTGTGTTTTAAAGGCCAGGCCTGCCAGCAAGCCCCCCACAGGGGCGACAGGGATGGCATTTGCGGGCTAATGAGGCATCACACCGGCTCCAGGGCCCCTTCTGCAGTATTTGGAAGGGACAGCAGGGGCGGCGAGGACAACAGCTGGAACTGGGGGCGATGGGTGAAGAAGGCTGCGGGGAGCCCTGGCCGGGTTATAATTACCAGCCCCCACCCACACCGCCCCAGCAGGAATAGAAAGATTCCCAGAGACTCCAAGATCTCTGCTGAAAATTCTGGAGACGTCCATTTTACCCGCAGAGAAAGGAAAGTACATTTGTTGAGCACCTGCTCAGTGCTGGACCCTGGAGTCAGGACGTTGAACCAGACCTGGCTTCTGTCCTCCCCGAGGTTTTGCTCTGACAGAGAAGCCCCAAACAGACAGGCAGGTTCCCCCAGGCTGTGAGGGAGCTGTGGAGGGGCAGCAGGAATCAGTGAGTCCAATTGTCATTTGAACACTCTGTGCGGGCCATTACTGATAGGCTGATGAGCGGGGCCAGCACACACCTCTCCCAACTCATGAGGGTGCCCGAGTCAGAGCTTGAAGAAAGGATGAGCAAGACATCTCCTAAATGTGGATGCTCCTCTTGCCAGAAGCGTGGTGTCTTCTAAGCCCTATTGAGTGCCTGTCACATTTTACAGAATGGGAAACAGAAGCTCAGACAGTTCAAAAACTTGCCCAAGGCCAGGCACAGTGGCCCATGACTATAATCCCAGCAACTAGGGAGGCTGAGGCAGGAGGATCAGGAGTTCAAAACCAGCCTCAGCAATAGCGAGGCATTAAGCACCTCAGTGAGACCCTGTCTTGAGATAAAATACAAAATAGGGCTGAGGATGTGGCTCAGTGGTCAAATGACTCTGAGTTCAATCCCCAGTACAAAAACAAAACAAAACAAAAAAAAACCACTTGCCCAAGGTAAGAGTATAAATGATAGAAAGAAGACATGAACTCATGTCTGTCTGACTCCAGAGTCTCTGCTTTTTACCCTGCTCATATCTGATTCTGTGTATCTCTGGTACATAGTAGGCCCTCTGTGAGGGTCTGATGAATGAATGAGTGAATGAATTTGCCAAGCCAGAAAGTTTGAAGACCAACTTCATGGACCGATTTGAGGTTTTCGTCCCCCAGACCCCTCTGTAGTGGGTTTGTCCCAGAGAGAGGAGTGGGATAGGTAAAGTGGCCATAACCCATCCCTGTGTGCAGCTTCAGTAAAGGAATCTCTCAGGATCTGTGGGAGGCTGGCTTCAGGACCCCTGCAGACACCAAAACCTATGGATGCTCCAGTTTCTTCTACGAAATGGCATAGTACACACATCCTTCATAGACTTTAAATCATCTCCAGGTTACCTATAATACCTAATGTAAAGTAAATGCTGTGTAAATAGTTGTTAAACTCTATTGTTTGAGGAATAGATGGGGGGAAATCTGTGTGTGTGTTCCACAAAGACTCAATTTTTTCCCGAATGTTTTCATTCTGCAGTTGGTTGAATCTGAGGATGTGGAACCCACAGATACATAACCTCCATGGGACTTGCCCCTCCCACCAAGAGGTGGAGTCTGTTTCCCCACCCCTTGATTTGCAGGCCTGTGGTTTGCTTTGGCCAATGGGATGTGGCAGAGGGATATTATGCAAATCCCAAGGTTGGGCCTTAAGGGCCCTGGCAGCTTTAGGTTTTGCATCCCTGGAACTTAATCCCCGGCCAGTGGGGGATGAGAGACCACTGTGTCTCAGCCACAGCAAAACCACAGCCCCGGTGTGGCTCAGGTCGTCCTGGACCTTCCAGCCCAGGTGAGCCTTCCGTTAAGCGCAGCTGAAAACCCGCAGAAACAGCCCGCCAACCAGCTCTTCTACCAGTTGGCTGTGGCAGCTGCCCCCAGTGCAGGGCCCAAGGCCACCTTTTGTCTGTCACCATTCTGTGGGCTGCCGTGGCTGTTCTTTTGTCGGGGGTCACTCAGGTGGCAACAGTTGGCTGCCAAGTCACTGGGGGTTGACGCAGCTGGGGGACCGCTGGTGTGTGGCCTTTCATCCTGGGCTTCTTCCCGGCACAGTGGTCTCAGGAATCCGGAAGGACGGTCCGGTACACAGGGCTTGTCTGGCTCCGGCTTTGTCGCACTTGCTGAGGTCCCATAGGCCAAGTAAGTCACATGGCCAAGGCCAGATTCAGCGTGGGAGAGAGTGACACAGGGTTTTGGATACCAAGAAATGTGGTTCTTTGAGAGTGGTCACCATAGCAACCTACCGCCACAGCAGCGTGTGACCTGGGAACAGGGTCCAGGGGCAGCATGGTCCCTGGATGCCCGCCTCCTGGATGCCCAGAGATGGCACCCAAAACACACGCTCCTCAGACTTCATGGCCAGGTTCCAAGTGAGAAGCGTCGAGTGTCCCCCAGTCCCCTGGAGCTGGAAGGGGCAGGGACAGCAGGAGGCTACCACCTGGAGCCTCTGTGCTCACTCAGAGCCAGGCCCCTGCTGCAAAGCCCACTAACAGCCCTTGGTGCCCAAGCCTGTAAGTGCACACGGGCCCCAGGGCTCTGCGCTCAGCGCCATCCTCCTGTAACCGACCTCCTCAGGGCTGGTGCCAAGGGTGTCCACTCCAGTCGGCCCCCTCCCCTTCCCCTGGCACCCCCTACTCTCTGGCCTGTTGGCTGCTGGCAGTCCGTCTGTCCATCTGCCTCTCTCGCCCCCTCCCACCACCTTCACACTCTCCGAGGTTCTTCCTCTCCATTTCTCTAGCTCCCTGTCCCTCTGTGGGTCTCTCTGTCTCCTCCTGTGTTTCTCCCATTCCTTCCTTCCCTTCCCGGCTTTCTACCTCTGAGGTCTCCATCCTCCCGCCCCCCAGCCGGCCTTTCTCCTGTCCCTCTCCCTCTCCTGTCTCTACCCTGTGGCACGGCTTCCTGTTTCTTGCTAGATTCCCCCCCCATCTGTCTGTCTCTCTCCCCCCCTTCTTCCTCTCCTCCCCTTCGTGTTCTTCCCTTTCTTCCCACCCTCTGGGCAGAGGGCAGGACAGACTCCATCTCCCCGGGCAGCCCCTGCTGTCCAGCTGTGAAGACGCACTGAAGGGAGCCGCTGAGGCCCAGAGGGCACCCCTTCCTCTCCGGGCATCTCACGGCAGCACCAGAGCCTCCCGGGGGGCTTGCTGCATGATTGAAGGGGGCTGCCCTGATTAGCATGCAGCAAAACAGGGAGGACCGTCCAGGAGCTGAGATAGGACCCCACAGGTGGTGTCCCCCTGTCAAAGGCCCCTGGCACCTGGGGGTGAGTGGGACAGGATGTGAGGGAGGCTGGGCAGGGGCCTCCCTCTCCACAGAGGTCTAGAAGGGCAGTTCCGACTGTGGACGCTGGCACCTCTATTTAAGTCCTTGCTGTGTGTTTTCTACAGTGTGTCCTTAGACAAGGTACTTGGCCTCTCTGTGCCTCCATCTCCTCACCCAAAAATGGGCATAGTCACGGCCCCTTCCCCATAGGGACACTGCGAGAATTCAAGGAGGCAACACACTCCAGGGCTGGGGACCATCTCCTGCAGAGCAAATGCACAGGCTGCTCCTCCTCGTCACCTGCTTCTCCTGGTGGCTGTGCACTGACTTGCCCCAGAGCCCGCTTGATGGAGTCTGGAGGCAGTTTTAACTGGGGCGGGAGAGTTGATCTACTGTGGGAGGCCAAGGGTGCTGCCAAATGTCCTACAGCGGACAGGACAGCGCACACACACGCACACACGCAGGATCCACGTGCCAACAGCGCCAAGTTGAGGTAGGGGCTGTGGGTGTCCTCATTTCACGGATAAGGACGCCGAGGGCAGAGAGGTGAAGGGATTCGTGCAGAATCACGCGGCCAAAAAGTGGCAGAGCTGGGATTTATCCCAAGTCATCTGCTTCCAAGGCCCCCCAGTCCCCGCGAAGGCCAGCGGCATGTGGCACAGGAGGGGCCGGCAGGGAGCCCAGAGAGGAGCCACCAAGGCCACTGATGGGGTCTGTATGAGCCTGCCTGGACCCCATGCCCCCCCTCGCCCCCATCCCACACCAGCAGGACCACTCCAAGCCCCCCACCACGCACACGCACACGCACACATGCACACACGCACACGCACATGCACACATGCACACACACGCACACGCACATGCACACATGCACACACGCACACGCACACACACGCACATGCACACACGCACACGCACACACACGCGCACACGCACGCACACACGCACATGCACACACGCGCACACAGACCCACACGCACATGCACACACACACATGCACACACACACACATTCTGCAGCCTCCTGTACTGTGGCCTTTATTGGAGTCCGAGGCTGTTTGGGGACAGCAGGAGCAGAGCTTGGGTTTTATGGGGCGCATCACGGGGCTGCTGGTGCGTGACTCCACCTGCGCTCAGGCCCTGGATACCACCTGGTGCTCGGCAGGTTGGAGGGGGTGTCAGCAGAGGCTCTGAACGCCTCACCGACTGCCCCTGCAGACCCCGGGCCCTTCTGCTGGCAGGGAGACAGGAGGCCCGGCCTCCCTGCAGATCCATCTTGCTGCCCCCTCTGCTCCCACCCCCGCCCATGAGCAGCTCGGAGGAGTTTGCTGGTGACTTGCTGGTGTCCAGATGGAGGACGCAGCGCCGGGAGGGGTGGGGGGCTGAGGCTGGGGGAGTTTGTGGAGGGGACTCGTGTGAATAGGGATGCGTGACGGCAGCGTGTGTGTGTGTGTGGGGGGGGTGTGTGTGTGGTGGCCGCAGAGCTCAGGCCAGCACTGTGGCCGCATCGATGACTTCCATGTCACCCCGTCTCCTCCTGAACTGGAACTACGCCTCCGCTCGGCAGGTCTGAGTCCTACCTGGGCCTATGCAGGGGACGCCACATCAGCCAGCCGCTGGTGGCCGTCCCCTGGCCTCACCCTCACTCACCCACAGGCGTGATCCGGACGGCCGTGCCTGACCTGGACCGTGAGAGCCAGGAGCGCTACGAGGTGGTGATCCAGGCCACAGACATGGCCGGGCAGCTGGGCGGCCTCTCAGGCTCCACCACAGTCACCATCGTGGTCACCGACGTCAACGACAACCCGCCCCGGTTCCCACAGAGTGAGTGGCCCCTTCCCGGGGCAAGGCCACATCTGTGTCAGCCCGCCCAAGCCCCCGCTGGCCCGGGCTCCTCTTTAGCTTTGCGGCTAGCGAGAAGCGCCTGCCCCCTCCCTGTCCACCGAGGGCCGCTTACCCAGCCCCCTCTTCCTGCACAGGAAGAGGCTGAGCCCCCTGGCCCTGCTGTCCGGCCACCCCAGCTCCCCAGTGGCCTTCCCCACACCCGGGCCTGCTGGCCGCCTGCTGCTGAACAAACTGGCTAAGGGCGGGGTCCGGCTGGGCGAGGGGCTTGGGCAGACAAGGCGGCGGCCACCGCACCCAGGCCCACACTTGTGCCTGGAGGAACTGAGTCTGAGCCACAGGCGCTCCCTGCCTCTGGGACCCTGGACAGCAGGAGCCCGCGAGGCCGGCTTCTCTGGCCAGGCCCCGCCTGCCCATCAGCCCGGCCAGCCCCTCCGTCCCAGGCTCAGGCCGAGAGCCGGGCCGCAGGGAAGCCACCGCGGCTGGCAGAGACTAAGAGCTGCCGGGAGCCGCTGATTCCTATCAGGGAGTCATTACTCAGGGCCGCTGCTCCCACATTAGGCCGCCACGGGGACTGACCCCGCAAGATCAGGGAAGCCCATCCCTTGGCTGAGCGCACAGCATCGCCGCCCCCGGGTACCCAGACAGACAGGTGCAGGCGGGAGCCCGGCCCAGAAGCCAGCCCGCGCCCACCCCTGGCCCAGCCGCCAGCCCATGGGGCTCCAAGCACCAAGCGGCCCTCTGCCCAGCTGGGCCCGGCCGTGTGAGCCGTGGGCAGAATGGGGAGGCTGAGCGGAGGAGGTGCCAGGGCGCGGGGACTGTTCACTCCTCCCTCCCTCCCTCCCCTCCTCGTTTCTCTGTCGCGAAGCACAGGACACGCAGAGGGTCCAGTCCCACAGTTAATTATAAGCAGACTTTCCAGGAGCCACCCTCCAGGACCCAGAGCCTCATGACGTCCCCACCCCTTCCTCCGCATTAACCGCCACTCACGTCTGTCACCATCTTTTCTACTCTCTCCATCTGCCTCACCAAACATCATACTCTAATTTTACCCATTTTTAACCTAGTCCAGGTGGAATCCTGCAATCTACATCATTTCACGTCTTTCTTTTCTCTCTCAAAATTGTGTTTATGAACCCACACCATTGCCTGTGGCTGTGTTCATTTTCCTCGATGTATAGTATTCCAATATGTATCTCTTTAGCTGTTGAGGAATATTTGAGTCCTTCCCAGTTTGGGGCTGTTAGGAAGGATCCTGCTTTGGCCATCCTTGCAACGCCCCCGCTCCAGTGCCCATTTGTGCACATTTCTCCAGTGTGTATACAGAGGAGTGGAAAGGCTGGGTCATGGGATATACCTGGTCACTAAATAAGGCCAAATTGTTTTCCCATGAAAACTTGCACACGCTGCTTGTGCACATCCTCACCAACCCTTGGGACTGTCAGACCCTCTAATTCCTGTTCATCTGGCGATGTGCTGGGCGCCCAGTGGCTCTCGTTCCTGTCCCCCTGGCTGTTCACAGGTTCCACGGAGGGGACAGCGTGGTGTCCGCAGGCGCTGAGGGTGTCTGCTGAATGGGGGACGCAGTCCCTGTCTCCAGAGCTGAGAGAGTAAACAGAACAGGACAGGGAAATGCAGTAGCCCACCAGGGGATGGGACAGGCACACAGGAGGGGGCCTGAGGGCGCTTCCCGGGGCTCAGGTTCGGAGCAGGATTGGGACGGGGAGGGAGGGGGCGAAGGGAGGGCCGCCTGGGGCATCCAGACCTGAGCCCAAGCCGGGCAGGGAGCAGGAGAGGGGCCAGGGCCAGCAGCCGGCCCAGGGCAGCCGGAGCCATGGGAGGGATTAAAGCCAGGGAAGAGCATGTCTGGCTTGTGCTGCAGAAAGAGCCCTCCAGGTGGCCGTGTGACCACAGGCGGGGCGGCCACCCAGTGCAGGGTGACCTGGACACGCAAAGGCCCCCGAGGCCCATTCCACCCATGGCCCCTGCCTCACCCGGGCTGGCCCCCCGAGTCAGGAACCTTCGCGCCTGACCTTGGCTCTGGGCGGAGAGCGAGGCGCTGCCCGCTCCCTGCCTCCCCGACCCGTCACCTCCCAGCTGCCAGGCACCGCACCCCGGGCCTGCTCCTGCCGTCCCTCGGTCTAGAACGTCCTTCCCCGGTGTCTGCCTGGCTCCCTCCTCACCTCCCTCTGACGGGAGTGTGCCCAAATGTCACCTTCCAGGAGGGACCCAGGGCCGCGGAGCTCAGCACCACGCTGCCACCCAGCCCTGGTCAGGGGACGTGCAGCTGCCCTGCCCCCGACCGCTCACGGGTCCCTCTGTTTTCCTCCCGAGTCTCTGTCACGCCGGACACACTGTATCCAGGGGGTCTCCTCTGTGGCCCGGCCCCGTGCCTAGGGCTGTGCCCTGTCTGGGACATGGCAGGGCTCCGTGCACCTACTGACCGAGGGGCCAGACCAACAGGAGGTCGGCCCGCAGCCCCGCCCTTCCACGTGTCCCCGAGGCCCCCTCGCACTGGCCACCGCAGTGCGCGCTGGTGGCACGTCCCCAGATCACTCAGCAGATAAGCCCAGGGGTCAGGCTGAGGACCGTCCTCTCCGCGCCGCCCCTCCCGGCCCCCGGCCTGGCTGAGCCGGGGCTGGCCGCTCACGGGCGTGTCCCCGCAGAGCTGTACCAGTTCAGCATCCAGGAGTCGGCTCCCGTGGGCACGGCCGTGGGCCGCGTGAAGGCCGAGGACTCGGACGTGGGCGAGAACACGGACATGACCTACCACCTCAAGGCGGAGAGCGGCAGCGGGGGCGGCGTCTTCAAGGTCACCACAGACAGCGACACTCAGGAGGCCATCATAGTCCTGCAGAAGGTGCGCTGCCTGGGGAGGGGGCAGGCCCCAGGGGCAGCGGGGTCTGGGAGGCTTCTGAGCTGTCACACTTCGCAGCCTCCTCCCACTGCAGGGATTGAGTCTTAAGAGACACCCGGGAGCAGCCTGGGAAACACTGACGCTGTCACTTTACAAGAGCTGTTTTACAAATGAGAAAAAGGAGGCACAGAGAGGTCAAGTGATTTGGTGGAGGTTGCACAGCTACTTGTTGGAGCTCAGATTCCATCCACGTTTGAATCCGTGATTTTCAACATCAAGTGTGGGTTTCAGCTCTGCTCGTTCATGCTCCTAATGTCCTTTAACCTCATTTTCCTTCTAAAGGAGAGGTCACTATCCACATTTTTACAAGTGAGAAAAAGGCTCAGAGAGGTAAAGGGGCTTGCCCAAGATCTCACCTCACGGGACAGAGTTGTGCTGATGAAGGCCCGACAGTGCCCAGCTCCCTCCCAGCGTCTAACAGCCTTCCTTCCTTCATCTCACTGGCCCCGAACCAAAAGCTAAAACTGCAAACGTGGGTCCCCGAGGAGAAGGAGACGGAGGTCAAATAAAGAAGCCAAAACTCCCTCTTCCAGGGCCTGGCCCTGGGCTCAGGAACGCAGGGCTGCACAGACGGTCAGGACTGTCCACTCACCCTCCCAGGGAGGCCTGCACGGACCCATGTCCTCACCAGCCCTTGCATACCTCCAGGGACAGGCGGCTCACTCTCTGCTCTGGCCAGCCCCCTTCCTCCCGTCAGCCAGGACCTCCTCCTTAGACCACTGGGCAGTAGCTCCGCCCCCTGTGTGCCACGCAGCCACCCGCCCCACACGCCCAGAGTGACCCAGTCTTTGCCTGGCACTGACAGTGTGAGGACGCAGCCCGGGTCCCCAGGGCTTCCGACAGCCGCGTAGCGAGGGCTTCTGACGAGGTGCCGCCCCGCCGCGTCTCGGGTGCTAACTGGTCCAGTCCCGGCAGCAGCCCTGGGAGGCCGATCGCTGCCTATTTTATTGATGAGAAAGGGAGCCCCAAGTTCAGTAACCCGCTCAAGGTCATGTGCTGAGCGTGGACAGCCCAGTAGGGACACAGGCCGGGTGCTCGGGCTCAGCGTCCCCCTTGGAGCACGCTGTGGTTTTCCGTCCTCGTGCCTCTGGGCGAACTTGCTGTAAACTGAGCCCGTGTCACAGATGGAGGGTGGCCCAAGAGGCCCAGCCTCCCAGAGAGGCCCAGCCTCCCAGAGCTGCCGAATGGGGCCCAGCAGGGTGTGCTCACGTCCCCCCAGAGCTGCCCTACGGGCTCGGGAGCTCCTGCCTGCTCCGGCAGCACCTGGCGCCTGAGGCGTCTCTGTGGAGTCGCGATGGCCGCGGAGGCCAGGCCCTGCCTGAGTGATGAGCCGGCTCCAGAGTCCAGCGGTCACTCCCCGGCCAGGTCGGCCACCCCCTGCCCCTGCATCCTGACTTCCCAGGCAACAGGACGCGGGAAGGAGGTGGCGGCGTTTGTTGCTGGAGAAGGGCCGGTGGGGGCTCCTGGGGGTGGTGGGACCCCATCAGCAGGGCAGGGGCCATGTCTCGCTTACCCTGAGGCCCAGAGAGGCCAGGGGGAGGCCAGTCACAGTCACTGCAGCAGAGAAGGATGGGCACCAGGTTCCAGTGACTGCGGTGTTGGGAGAGGAGCAGGGTCCTGGAGCCACACCGCGGGTGGGATCCTGGCTCTCACTGCTCAGTGACCTGGGGCTGGTCCCTGGGCCTCTCTGGTCTCAGGTGCACAGTGAGATGGTGAAGCTGCGGGCCTGCTGGGGTCCTTGTGGGGCACAGTCACAGCGCTGGCACATGCTCCGAGTGTGTTCAAAACATGGATGAGCTGTGCCAGCAAGCTGGCAGGACGTGGGTGACAGCCTGGCCCTGAGTGGCTCTTCCTAGGGACCATCCGGGGTCTGACAGTTAGTCCAGCCCAGACGCCCTGGACCCGCGCAGGCAGCAGTGACAGTGGCAGCCTGGCTTCCTCCGTGCCCTTCCCGGGAGCCGGTGTCCCCTGACGGCCCTCTGTCCCCCGCAGCGCCTGGACTTCGAGTCGCAGCCCGTGCACACCGTGGTCCTGGAGGCCCTCAACAAGTTCGTGGACCCGCGCTTCGCGGACCTGGGCACGTTCCGCGACCAAGCGATCGTGCGCGTGGCGGTGACGGACGTGGACGAGCCCCCCGAGTTCCGGCCGCCCTCGGGCCTCCTGGAGGTGCAGGAGGACGCGCAGGTGGGCTCCCTGGTCGGCGTGGTGACGGCGCGGGACCCCGACGCCGCCAACCGGCCCGTCCGGTGAGACCCCCGCCCGGGGCCGACGCCTGCTGCCTGCTATCCCGCCACCGCGGCGACACGGGGAGGGGGTGGCCCCAGAGCTGGGCAGAGAGGAAGGCGCCGGAGCGGGGGAGGGGCCCAGAGGTCAGGGGAGGACAGGGCTGTGGGGCCGAACCGGGACTCACTGTCAGAGCGCAGAGAAATGGCCGCAGGTCCCCTGCCCGGCAGTCCAGGCCAGGCCCCGCGTGTCCTCTGGCACCGGCTCCACCAGACACCTCACCCCCCAGCGCTCAGGGCTGAGCTCCTGTCCCTCACCCAACAGAACACGACCCCGCTCCAGAGTGCACCTCCATCCCTCC